TATCTTTTGATATTCCACGGCATTGAGTGTTTTTAGTTCCAATATTCGAATATAACTATTAATCTTAAAAAAACAGCGGGGTGATTAACACAAATGGTTTATATGATTGAAAATAATTTATGTACAATGAATCCAACGATTTTACTATAGATTTGTAAAAAAAAAAAAATAAGATACTTTGGTTTAACCCGCGGGTTGACCTACGGGTGACCCGCGGGTGACCCGTGGGTTGCCACCCGGGTGACCATAATTAAACCCGGGTCACCCGCCCACCCGCGGGTGACCCGGGTGATGGTCATCCGGGTCGGAACACTAGATATCAGTATATACTAAAATTTATTATGCGTAACTTGATCAGTTTCGGATTGTTCGGATCAACCACTATCCACGATCAACATAATACTGTGAAGCAGATTTTAAGTGATTAAACGGTTCCAATCCTCAAACACCTCCAACATTTATCGCTATCACTTAGGTAACAACTCTTAAGACTATTCTCTTTTCCCTTCTGGATCAATTTTGATAATTATTATTGGTCATTGGGCCAGTTCTTTTCTATCTGTCTTGCATCTTTATTTAAATTAGAAGACTGACTTTTTATAGTTTATCTTCACCGATTATATTCATGAGATTAATAGTTAATTATACTGTAAATTCTACAAATGTATCGATTAATAATGATACCTTTTATAAAATGATTATATAATATATAATGTTAAATACGTATTTAGTAAATCACTTTGAAAATGAGCTGTACTATTTTTATTAAACCCTTTTTTTTTATCAATGTCTATAAAAATATAGATCAATTAGTATCGCGGCTGAAACTGGAAATGACTAAAGCTGGAAATAAGGGTCTATATATGTAAGATAGAATTTATATTAAAAAAATTTGGTTGAAAAAATGGCAACAAAAACAAGGCTGAGCGAAGGGAAGCCTTGTCAACATTTGCTATGGCCTTAAACACTTGTGATTATCAAATTATCTGTCGGTAAAGAATCCGACACAAAAAAAAAAAAACTGGATAATAGTGAATAAATAGAGAATGGTGTATTTGCAAAGACAAATTTTCATTATTTTAACGTTTTTTAAGAAAGCAAAATTTTAAATACGTACGCAATTTATTACAATTATGATTCCCATTTTCCTTGTATAATTAACATAGTACGGTCTACCCTGTCAAAGCTGATATTGCATGGTACAGATTTTGTGTCAGTTTTAAGAAGTTATCAGATTTAAGAGGTATCAAAATACAGTAGTTCACATAGCGAAGTTAACGTTTTATCATGTTATATTCCCCGCTGTTGCATATATAGCTTACCAAACCACAACAATACTTAGCTACCATGTGTCTCAAAGGAAATGCTTCAAACCACAAATATAGTCAAATGTATGGCGCAGCACATGATCCTTGAAAAAAAAGTCACTTTTGTTGCAATATTTTACGCATTATTTAGCGTTAAAGAAAATTTTTCACGGTATTTTATAAATGCTTACAAGTTTAAAACTTGTTAAAATTTATATCGTGAAATTTCATCAACTATTGCAATTATATAGAAATATCTCTAGCTATTAGCTATCATCCCAACCTGCTTCCGAGAGAATGATTTACAGCTTCTAACTGCACCTACGTATCGTTATATTTATGTATTAAATAAATAAAAGGCGATTTTTACTACTTATTTCAAAATTTAAAAACTTGTTGCTGTTTATATCCAAGGTTTTTCAATATACCACCAACAGGACCTTGCGATAAATCTCTCGCCTTGTCACCACTTACGTATCGAATCATCCTAGAATTTACATCATCAATAATAAAGAAAAACTAGTGACAAATAATATGGTTTGTAAATATTTTACCCATCTGGTCCACAGACGAGTACAAGCACGTCCTCTTGAGGTCCAGGGATATGGTTTTTTTAATTGCTTTTTGAGATACATATCCAACTCCTTGCGTCCATAATTCATCGTCAGGAGGTTGATCCAGAGTGTAAAAGATTTTTAATTGATCTGGATGTTCTTGAGATAATTGGTCTAATTCTTGAAGAAGGAGAATATCTTGTTTGGTGACATTTGCATATATCATATATATTTTTGTTTTATCATCAGGATTAGACAGAATATGTTTGATTAATTGATACCTGAATGACAATACTATTGTCAATAATATCTTTGCTTTGTTTAAAAAAAAATTTTAATCATTGTTAGTAAAAATTAACAATTCTTACATTGGAGTTATTCCGGTTCCACCACATATCTAATCATTAAAATAATTATTTTAGTATTTCATCAGGAGTTTTCGTAAACTCATAATAATAATAGTAAACAACGTATGAAAAATAACTCTAACCATTCCAATATGTGTTTTCATGTTTGGCGTATAAGGAAAGGTCAATATTGGACCTCTCACCTCCACAATATTACCCTCCTTTAAGGAATGAATATATCGTGATAGGTATCCTTCGTTATATCTCTTGATTAAAAATTCAATGTAATTTCTTTCATCGGTTGGAGATATAGGTGTATACTCGCGAACGATCTGTATTGAATCATCTTTGATATGAAAACAAGATGTAATTGGCAATGTTTCTTTTAGTGGTTTCGGAAATTTCAACCGAAAAATACTCGTGTTATGATTAACTGTAATTATTTTATTTATAGTTAAAGGAATAAATTTATCAGGTGAAATTACATCGTATTGAGCAAAATTTATGTACAATTTTATTAATACTGCAAGTGTACTTCCACCAATTGTAGCTGCCACAATAAATTTTCCACGATTCAATTGTATAAATGGCTTTACTGTTTTATCTCTGTTTAAAAAATTCTTTTTTTGTGGTAAGATCCGTTGAAATTGATGGCCTACGGATGTGAAAACAAATTTACGAACAAATCTAGCATATTCAGAGTACATGATATATGATTTATAAATTAAACTTTAATTATCGTCATCGTCCGAAAAAAAAATAAAATATTGTTATTCAACTGCATGTTCACGTTACACACATACGTACATTACGTACGTTACACACGATACACGTTACACACACATTATACAAAAATATTTAAATATCAAAATGAATGCAAAGGGTACATATCCGATACCGGTACTTCGTCTCTTCATTTTTTTTTTTTTTTTTAAATGCTATATTTATATAATTTAAAACGCGATCAGTCCGTTCTTATTTATTCATAATACCACGTATCTGTATTTAATTTCATCTATTCAATGAGACGGGCTTCTCGACGTCGAGTATCCTATGTTATTACTCATAATAAGGATGACCATGGTCACCTTTTAGGTATTAATTCTTTGGCTTTAGACACAACTACAGTTAATCCGGAGACTGGTAAACCAGAAGGAATTCTTTACTCTGCTGGGCGTGACGGTGTAATAGCATCTTGGGACTTGCACCTACCATTTCGAGACAAGAAAACTGCAAATATCAATGGATCAATTCATAAAAGTACCGAAAGCATTAATGAAGTTAATGATGTGGGTGTAAAAAATTGGGAAATCGACGATGAAGTTGACCTTTATTCGGTAAGTATTATGTGACGGAATAAATTAAATCGATTTCTAACAGTCATTATCTAATTTATGAACAGCAACCTCCATCATCAACATTTCGTCAATCTTTCCAAAGTCATACTGATTGGGTCAACGACATAATACTTTGCCATAATTGTGAATCATGTATGGAATTGTGTCTAATTATTTAATATTTTCGTTAGAGTCAGTGTTGGCTATTTTCCCGGCTAAAAAATATTTTGCCGGCCACAAATGGTCAAATTCGACCAATTATATCTAGTTTTATACATATGTATTTTGGCATAGCAAACCAAATTTGATTTGGCCGGTAAAATTACCAACACTGTTTATAGTCTTAGTCGTAGTTAATAAATTGAAATGTGACTTTTTTGGATTTATGGGTTTATGATAATGTTCACAGTAATTTCCGCTTCTTCGGACTGCAAATTAAAACTTTGGCATCCTCATAAATCAACCAGTTCCTATACTATCGGATGTCACACTGATTATATAAAAACTTTAGCTCATGCCCCTGGTCCGGGTTGGGTTGCTAGTGGTGGGTTTGATCGAAAAATAATTATATGGGATATAGTAGAATGTAGACCCTCTTATGGAATTTCATCAATTAATATTGTTGATTACGAGCGACCTCCAATAGGTAAAAAAAAAAACAATAAATATCAAATAGAAATATTAAATAATCTATCATTAATTTATCGTTGATGTTTATATCTAATTTGTTTTGTAATTAAAGCGACAATTTCAGACTCATTGTTAAAGCTATCTGTATATGCACTGGCTTGTAACCCAACAGGAACTGTTCTTGCTTCAGGATCTCCAGAGAAGGTAAGCTTTTCTATGTATTTACTTTGCTAAATCATTGCGTAAGATTCATTAATTAGTGAATTTTTTTTTATAGGTTGTTCGCTTATGGGATCCACGAACAACAAAACAAATCACTAGTTTTACAGGTCATACTGATAATATTAGAGCTATATTAGTTAGTGATGATGGTGAATTGGTGAGTAATCGATTTTTATATAAAAACCTTCAATTTTGCTCATATAATTTTGATATTTAGATATTATCAGGGTCTTCCGATACTACCATTAAATTATGGTCATTAAAGGCTCAAAGATGCATAAACACGTTCACTGTTCATTCAGACTCCGTATGGTCTCTTTATTCAGATCATCCTAGGTTGGAATTATTTTATTCAGGTGGTAAAGATGGATTGGTCACAAAAATTGATTATAGCGGTTGCGCAGAAATTCGTGATGGTGAATGCGTAGCTGTATGTAAAGAGGAAACTGGTGTAGTCAAGGTAAGATGATTATACGTGCGAACTCTAATCATTAACTTCAGAATTAAGTAAATAATCGTGTATATATTTTATTTTTATTCATTAATTTTTGCAAATAAGCTTATCGCTCAGGATAACAAATATATTTGGACTGCAACTTCAGATTCTAGTATAAAGCGATGGGTATGTATTTCTGTCATAATTTTAAGTTATTGCATTATAAATGTGCATTCCGAAGATATTTCGCTATCATAGCTAGACGTGCCTCCCCGACATATTCGTAAAGCAATTTCTCGATCATCTTCACCTTCTATATCACCAACATCCCCACAATTATCTCCAATGCCACCACTTACAATACCGCCATCTTCAATAATAAACCTTACGTCTACTGGTGTATCATATGGTATGGCTTTGGATGCTGAAGTCGCAACATTATATTCAGTCACTACCGATGATCAGAGATTGGATAGTTTAGACATAGAAGATCCAATTCCTGTGAGAGGTTCACCGGACTCTATTATTAAAGGTACTTTTTATAATTATGCATGTCAATCTTATCATACAATAATTTAATGCTCTTCAAATTATATCAACAGGCCAACATGGATTAGTAAAATGTTGTTTGTTAAATAATCGACGGCATATTGTTACGCTTGACAATTCTGGTGAAGTTGCATTGTGGGATATTATCTTGGTATATATATTAAATAATATTAAAATATTTTCAATATAAAAGCAATCTAAAAATAATTCGGCTTCTTATATTTCAAACCACTATTACACTAAGAAATTGTTGATATATAATAATATTATAGTGTATTCGAGTCGAAACGTTTGGCAAGCGTGATTTCGAAGAAGTTTTTAAGGAGCTTAATACTATCGAATATATACCAACTTGGTGTGAAGTAGATACACGCATAGGGGTAAACAAAACTTTATTTCGACTGTTATATGCTAACTGATAAATTATTTGAGAAATTTGTTACCATTTCCAATTTTTCCTTATATTTAAAGGCATTGACGGTTCATCTTGATGAAAGGAATTGTTTCGACGCAGAAGCGTACGCAGACGAACTTAATTTGCCAGAAGGTGCAGATATTCGCGAAGATCAAAGAAGTAAGTTCTTTGAAATGAATGAACAATTTTAATCAAAATACTTTGATGTTACTAATAGTTACATCAAAATTACTAGTCAATCTCGGCAAATGGGTATTACGAAATCTGTTTGCCAATTTTACAAGGAATGTGATACAAATGTATGAAGAGTTTCAGGCTCAAAATCTCTTGATGCAACAGCAAAGACATCAATCTAATGATTACAGGCGAGAATTACAGGATGATCGCTCACCTCCACCGCAAAATATTTCATTTCCACCAGCTACGATTCAGGTGCCCACCACACCACCTACTGTGGCAACAACACACAGTGTTAATTCTCCATCACAGAGTACATCTGTGTTACCTCAATCACCGACTACACCATTGGCCGCTTTCACAGGTCCACTTACCGCACCTGCAACTACGGGATCTCAGCAATCTGATTATTTTTCTGGTTCACATCATAATTCTCCAACCAGTCCCACTGGTGCTTCTGGTAATGTAACACCACCGGGCTCGACAGGCCCTGAAACATTAAGTGGACCATTAACAACCTCTGAGATAATAAAACCACCTCCTCCAGCTTTACTTAATCAAACATCAAGTAGTAGCGGATCCTCAAGCTCTATATTCGGTCGTCTTAAACCTACTTTCGGACGTAGCAAAATATCAAGAGGGCCCAACACAGAAGCAAAACCTGAATCAAGTGGAACGAGTATGTCAACAGAAAAGAATGCTGATGCAAAAACAGACTCGACGTCGGCTACTTCAACACCATCTCAGGAAGAATTCAATGCACAAAGTAAAAAGGATGAGGAATCAAAGGTGAATAATACATCTACTTGAAATAGTCGGTTAAAGAATAATCAATCAATTAAATTTAATTATCATTTATATCAAGGCCAATGCTTCTGCAAGATCTAAAGTACAATTGCAGCATACCGGCGATTCTAATCGTTATCACCCTATACAGCACGATCCAATCCATTCCATACGTAGCATGCGTTCTTTTATTCAACCCCCTTTTGTGCAGTTACCGATAAGTGAAACACCTGAAGTTCCAATACCACCTCATACAACTGTTATAATCTCAGAAGTTTCCCCTGAAGCGTCAACATTTGTTGACTCGTACCGTGGGACAATTGAATCTATGGATAAGGATGTTGAACTAATTGAACTCAAAGCGCATCCTTGGCTAATGGAATTTTTACTTAAAGTATATATTATACATATATTATTGTCTGCCAAATAAATAATAATTTTATTATTATTAATTGCATCATTTAAATAATTGTAAATGAAAGAATAAAATTGCACTAAAAGAGTCAGTCAAAATAGGGTTTACATTAAAACCTCATGAGGGCTCTGAACTAGAAGACTTACCAAATGGGTAATGCAATAATTTACACATTTTCTTATTATACGTTTCTTAAATTTTAACAATGAACCTATTTTCTTTTATAATTTATAAGGAATTCCCGGTTAACCGCTAATAGAATGTTAAGGGCTCGAAAAATTCTTTCATACATAGTGGAGAAACTCGAACTTGATCAGCCTGAACCAGGAAAAAATGTAGGAGAGAAGACTCTAACAGATACAGCAGAAAAGGATGAAAAAACGAAGAATTCTTTAAAACCTGAAATGTGGTTGGAATTGGTCTGTTCGGATCAGGTTCGTTTACGAAATTTCATTAATACATACAGTCATGCCTCCTTAAATGCAACCTCCATAAATGCAACCTCCATAAATGCAACACCTCTCTAAATGCAACCTTTGACTCTGGCCCAAATATATACTAAACTCTCATCAATGCAATGTTTCTTATTGTTCTCTAAATGCAAACTAGTCCATACATGCTACATTTAGAGAGGTTTGACTGTGTTTTAGAAAATTTCTTATAAGTTTTTCTTTTTTTTTTTTTAGACATTGCCTCCTACAATGACATTGGCTACCATCAAATCACACATATGGAAGCAAAATGGAGATTTAGTAATGACATATAGGTATTTAAATGATGTTTCAAAAGTTACTCCGAAGATCGAATTGATTAAATATTAAAATCTGTAAACTTTTATTTTCCTCATGTAGATTGAGGATGAGAAGTGTATGAAAGTTTTATCATGATCTCTGTATTTTCCCATATAATAGGTTATTTGTTTTATTCGTTGGCATTATCTGCTTTACAAGTTTATTCAGAATAAATGTAATGTGTAGATTAATGCCTTTTAAGTTTACATACTTTTTTAATTCATATGATAATAGAGGTTAATTTAAGACAATTCTAAATATCACATTTAAGTTTCTTGAACAAGTTAGCAAATAACAATCTATCGATCATCATGTTTACTACTACTCCCAGAAGTTATGTTAGAAGACGTATCGAAAACGGAAGGGCCTCTCAAAGCCTCTTCCATCATAATCCTATATTCCTTTATCAATTTTTGTTCACGTTCTTTAAATTCTTGGTCAAACTCCTTTTTCGCACGATTTTGGTCATCTAGGAATTGTTGGCGATCCTGCTTGTATGGGTCTTGCTGGATATGGCGTCCCTATATAAGATTATAAAGGAAAAAATCATTTAATTCGTTTAATAAATAGAGATATATAAAGAAATATATAAAGAAATAAAGAATTGATATTTATTCCTCATTACAAAGTTTTCATAGCATCGCACCTGTTTTAATGTCTCCAATTCTTCCAATAATGATGTAAAAATCGGCTTTACATTATTCACTTTTGAAAAAAGAACGGGATGATATAAATTTCATTGGTTTAAATTGACACCTCCAACTCGTGTATATATTACACACATAAATTTGTTTTATTACGAGAACTCACATTTTTCCGTGACATCATTCAATTTTTTATCAAAGAGAAAAGTTCCGCTCGAAAATTTATCAGGTGCATTTTGAGTAAAAACTATACATTTTTCGAGGTTTCCATATTCTCGATTATTTCTATTTAGCTGAAAATTCAATATGATTAGACGAGCAAAATATCCTCAATAACTGACTGAAGAATAATCAAGAGCATACTTCAAATTCTCGAACAAATGATTTGATTTCTTTATCAACGTTGTCTTTTGGGTGATTAAATATAGTATCATAAAATGTACCAGTATCTTTTTATAAGAATTATAAATATGAACGGATAAAGTATTAATTGCATAAGTAAAAAATATCTCGTACCAAATTATCGCAAGTAATATAAAGAAAAGTAACTTACCTTTGACTATTGTTTTTAAGTCGTGTTTGAACATCGAAAAGAATTAATTTATTTTTATATAGTACGTACGTACGTACGTATCTTATGACAAGGTCCATATCAGCTACCCCAGTGCAGCAGTGAGACCATGTAAGATCGACAATATCACCAATCAGATGATCTGCACTAATTAAAACAGTCGAATTTTTAAAGTAATAAAAACCTACGTTAGGGTTGGGGTTGGGGTTGTGACTGAAATTATGGCTTATCTTATACTAAAATTTTACGGAGAATGTTTTTTGCTAGTACGCAGTAGGTGGTTTCATAGAGAGTCTGTTATTAGAAAAGATCTGATTGGTGCATCTGCAACGATCTTTCATGGTCCTACTGGGGTAGCTGTCCATATCGATATACAAGGGCGATTCGCCCCTGTGGTTAAATGATTATCGGTCATGCGGATATTTAAATGGTGCATACAGGTATATGAGGAATAGTGTAAAATAGACAAGCCACCGAAAATTACAAATTTTTGGGTACATTTTTTTGGCATTTTTTTAGGG